AGATATTTACTTTCATCACATGTCGTCATGCTGAGTCACAGTCCACATTTCACAAAGGTGTTTCTCTGATGTCTAGTCACTACATAAAATCCTTTACCTAGTCACTTTTCCAATCTAGTCACTTGTTCCTCTAGTCAATTAATAATTGTTCACAATTGATGTACTTATTACATGGAGGTTTATAAAGTTGAGGTCCGAGTCCAATCTAGTCACTTTGTTCATCTAGTCACTTTTAGTTAATTCACAAATAGATTTACTTATTATATGGAGGGTTATAAGGTTGAGGTCCGAGTCCAATCTAGTCACTTTTAGTTGTTCACAAAATATATTCACTTATAAAGCTGAGATTCTTAACGTTGAGATTCAGGTTCATTTCATTCGGATTTAAGTTTACTGGAAGAAAACCAATTTAAAACCGCACAGGGCTTCCGCAGGGTCCGATAACGGCAGCTAAACAAAGGATTTGTCGGCCATTTTATGCGGAGTGAGGGAGAAAATCTTCTCCCTCACAAATGGCCGACCCAGAAAAAAACAACCAATTGTGGCCTTTCCCTACCTACTGGAGGTAGGGAAAGGTAGTGTTTACCAAAAACTGGTTGAAACCAGCTTTGCCTTTCATTTGTAAAACTTTTATTGAAATAAAGCAATTATGAATAGACCAATCTTAATTTTGAAGGCTTCTGTTTTATTTCCTGCACTGAAATTCAAAAATTCATTCATTCACGATATTCATCACAAGACGTAAGTTTTCAAAATCAGGTTCTCACTCATTGTCTTGAAGGTTTATTGGATTGATGAATATGGCTATCAACAGCTAAAAAAACGACTGTTCGCACAGGTAAGTTAAGTTTATCATTCCAAGCAATAATTTATTCCAATCTTATTTTTGCAAATCCATAGCTTGAATCAATTACTGGAGTACCAAGCCAAAATATTGTTAGTATTTATCTCCGGGATCCTAATGTTCAGGGGGAGAGACCCAGCTATGAATATTATCACGTTATTGAGAACCTGACCAAGTAATCTATCATCAATCACAACAATTTAAAGATTATATATTAACAGATTCATTTACATTACCTTTCAGTTCTCATAGCTTTCTGGACCATCTGGCTAAGGAGCGATTCTGTGATGCAATTAGTTTTGCCGGTTTCCGTTTTCTTCTCGATTATAAAGTTTATTTTGATTCGCCGCCTGATATGAACCTTCCCAATACTTGTGTAATTTATCACCTAATACCTGAATGGATGGTTCCAGAGGGAATGTGCAGATCTGGTTTTTGTCAACATAGAAATACTAAAAGTATCTTCAACAAGATAAGAGATCTCATTAATAACGTTGAATTGAATGCAAATATTCGGTTTCACGTTCAACCAATAGAAGCAAGGAGACAAAGACGAAAAATTTACAGGCAATTCAATGTCCTACAATATTTCGAGCTTTTTTGTGATGATTTCTATTCGCGATTCCCCAATGATAGACAAAGAATTTTTAACTGTGAGCCAAACCTTTACCTGAGAGCTCGTGGTTGATTATTTATTATTTAACTAACTACAGACTTCAAGTTTCTTCTGATTTATAAGTAAAATGATGACAAATAAAATTTGCTTGATGAACATAAATAATCAATGTAAATAAAGATTTCGATGTTTTTCATTTCTTGCTATTAACCTTAACCTTTGCTAATAAGGTTGTGGAAATAAAAATTTAGACCCGCCTTCAAAGTAAATTGATTTGAAGATTTTTTACTGATTCGTGGAATGAAAAGAATGGAATTGGTCCATCACATAATTAGGAATGTATTCAGTCACATAAGTTTTCGGTAAATTACCAAGTTTCAGAAGTTCTTCAAGAATGACTAAATTGTTGAATATTTCCACTGGAAACTCGGTTGATTTGCTGGCACTGTAAAAAAATACAAAAGATTACAAAAAATAACCAAACAAAATATTATTCAGGATTTAAACAAATAAATTACCTTGGGTACGAAGATTCGACTAGTGATTTAATATAACGACATAGAAGTGATATAAACCGTTTAACCATATCACAACGATATTGTCTTAAAAGAGTTAATAATCCAGTAACAAATGGTTGTCCGTCAGCTGAATCAGTTATTTTCTTGGCAGTCAATCCATGAATTTTATCAACGTAAATGAATTTGGGATTTGATAAAATCACAATTACAAGACAAACTAAATCCATGTACGGAGGCAAAGTGGATCCAATGTAAATCTGTATTGAAATAAAGGAAAGAGTTAATTTACATTAGTTATAAAGAAAAATATCAACTCACTTTTGAAAGAGGGTCTGATATTCCAGACCATTCCAAATAATTGGTTAATTCGTAGACAAGAGCACTTTCCTCTTTGGCTAAATATTTTTTAGGATCTCGTTTGAGTTCAGTTAATAAGGCCCTGAAAAAATGGAAAAAATATGAATATGCTGAATGAAACAATTAAATTATATCTTACTCATTGAGAGTTTCATAAGCAGATCTCAAATTCCTTGATTGATAATTGCAGCTATTCTTAAGTTCAAAAGAGATGTTGTTTTTGATTAATTGCATTTGACCAATCTTCATTATTGATTCAGTAATGATTGGAAGAGTTCTTGGATTCCTAGAAGTTATTGGTGATTGCAATTTATTAGCTTGATCTGTGAATCAAAAATAGAAGAATTTTATTTTTCTTGTTAAATCAATCTTTTTAGTTGGTTTGTAACTCACTTGATGGCATATCACATTTCACTGGATCATGACCAGTTTCGCTTATTATCACATCTCGAGATTGTTTACACTTTTTATAGGTTGTCCAATGCATCTCTACATTAGGGTTTGAAAGTGAATTCAAGGTGTTGGTCAAATTGAGCAAAAAGATTTGAGCAAAATCCGTTTGCGCTAAGAAGATTTGAGCAAATTTTGCTCAAAAATTGTTGATAATTTTCAGAAATCATTCTTAAATTTTAGATCATTCAAGATCCTACAAAAAATATATCATATTATTTTTGTAATCGATAATAACATCTAATGAATGGTCAAAATCAATAGAACTGTCGATAAACTGAAAAAAGTGTTAAAACGATGGTGTGTACCAACAATTTTTATCGACGAATGATAAGTTTAAGCTCTGACTTTTACGGCCACAGAAAGCAGTCGATCTAACTGAAATCGAAGTGATCGGCTGTACATTTCTGATTTTTCATCGAAATTTACATTTTTAATTGAGTTT